CAAACTACCTCCTCTTCAAGTGCAGAATCCAATATCAATCCTAAGATTCGTGGTATCTTCTCCACCTTAAAAAAACATAGGGGCGAAACGTATGCCTCTATACGTTTATGCCTCTTGTTTTTGTAAGGTGGAGAAACTCAAGTCTGGTGTCTAAACACCCATTTTCTTTTCTCTAATGTACTTTCTCTTCCTTCCTGAAACGTGGCTTTGTATAATTCTGGACTATAACAGTATCGTGGACCAGAGATACGATGTTAATAGCTTGTGCGCTGTACATACACATTCAATTAGGCTTAACGTGCAACCCCGTCCACATTGTCCGACCTCGACATTCATTTAGTCTGACATTTTTAAACACCCTGCCCAAAGTAGCCAATGACGCACGCTGAAATGCCTACTTATTGAGGTAAGGCCCGTGGGAAATTCACAGTCTGATCTATTCTGACCGCCAGAATAGAATTTTTCTTCCTTCCTCAGAATCCCGTTATTTCATACGTTTTTCAATCATCCTTCGAAACCAATTCCCTCTCCAAGGTGACATTGATCAGATAATATCGACCATTCCAACCTTTCACAAGTGATCTCATTCTTATACTTCCCTTGCATGCTTCGGACCTTGGTTCATCGCGACGCATAATTCAGAAGCTAGAAGGGAGTATAAGTTTGATATTGCCTGATTTGTTTTAGGAGGAACTTGTGGATAATTACTCTCACATCTTGTCATCATCCTCACTTATTTCCTCTCTCATCTCATATATCATTAAATCATTCTTCTTCTATTATCTTACTAGTATTACTCAAACGTTTTATTCCTTATCTTCAAGTTCTTATTACATCGAAACGGAAGTAGTGTTATGGGGAAGTATAAGTCACCAGCCACCCGATTATCACGTCTTAATCGTTCAATTCAAAAGCACCTTGAAAGGCCAAGTAAACCTCTTCCGAATGCTAGGTCCATTCAAAAGGCCAATCTGATTAGCCACTATGGTCTTCCCCTCGACTCAAAGTTCCTTTTTTTTCGGAAGGGAAGACACTATGGGAAGCCAAGGTTCACTTTGACCTATGGAACAGTCGTCTGTCTAGATTTCAATACATCTGAGCTCTTACTGGTTGTACGATTTCTGGAGAAGGCCAGTATGGGGGACAACATTTATGAAGCTTATAATCATTTGATTAGTACTATCTACCAGCATGCCAAAGCTCGAGGCAAGGTTAAAACAAATGGTGCTACTTACCGGGCCAGGAGACTGGGTCGCAAATTCGGTCGTATGTTTGCTGCAGGGTTCCGTCCAGGTTACGATCCAGAGGTCAAAGGAGGCGAGTTAGGCCAATCAAAAAGACCCATTTGAATGATTCCTCACTGACTTACACATTGTTCTTAGGTCACTACACTTGGAATGCAACCACGGCCAACGATCTGTGGAAGATGGAGGCCGACTTGAAAAGACAGGGCAATCTCCCTGCAATTGAATCCTTCTTTGCTGAGCGATTCAGTGGCCTTTCTTTATATGCATTTGAGTCAAATGCTTCAATTGCTAGTCGAACCAATGCCCCATCATGGGCGAACGAATCCTTTTACGTGTCACCCAACTCCAAGGTATTCGGTTCGAATATTGTAGTCACCTTTGATGAATCACCAATAAGAAACACAAAGACAAGGATGCATCAAAATATGCCTTTGGCTTGTTCACATTGATAGACCGGGCCACAGGCAAACTCTACATGCGAGGAGAGACGGCTTCACGTGGAAATTGTATTGGAGCCCAATTTGTTCTGGATGACTACAATCTAGCGGTCGACTTGGATGCTTCGGATGGTATAGTCGAGATGTTGTGGAACTCCCAAGTGCATCATCACACAACGGCCTCCAAAACTTATAATGCAGATGGAGAACGAGTCGAACCAGAGTCAGCTGAAATCACCTGCTTTGGATGCTCTTGTCAAATTGCCCAATCTTTGGTGCATCGTCTTGAAAAGGTGAAGATTGACCAACAGGGTATGAGTGAAAGAGAAGCGGAGGAATATCAAGCAAGGGTCTTGACCGGTTATGCGGAACAAGCTCATCTGAAG